ATCACCAGGAATGCCATCGGAATGCCCTGTTGTTTTCACGGCGCAGTGTTTTTTCGTCTTTTTGTGGCGGTGAATGCGTCCGATTGTGTCCTCTCTGCCCGTTCCTTTCCCTCATTTACCCTCTCGACCTCATTCGAAGTCCAATTTCTTCTTGATTTTCTATTGTTCCGTTCTCTCTTTCTCTCTCTCTTTCTTCGGCCACGTTTACCTGCTCCTCTTCGCTTGGAGCGTCTTGCGACGATAAGGTCCAGCTGAATATTATCTCGTCGCCCGAGAACTCGCTACTCGACTTGCCTTCCCGCCGGCTTTGTGTTACGAAGCCGGGTTAAAGGCAGCCCACGATAGCGAGAGCGTAGACGGCGGCACGATGTGTTTTCGACTCGATCCGTCGATGAAACAGTCTCGATGAGAAGGTGACGGCGACGCACCGCAAGGAAGACTAAGGCCGATATTCATAGTCAGATCTTACATTTAAGACTGCCTTAAGAAGTTCATCTTCAGACGCTTCGTAGCCAATAAAATGGACCGTACAGCATCTAAAGATGAATTTAAGACTGTCTTATATATAAGATCCGATTATGAATATCGGCCTAAGAGCGAAACGCTCGCACATCGCCAGGAATGCCATATCGAAATGCTCTATTGTTTCCACGGCGCAACCAGCGGCCTCGTCTTTTTGTCGCGGAGGATGCGATCTTGCCCTCTCTGCCTCCTCCTTTTCCTCATCTCCCCGACCCCTTTCGCGAATCCCATTTCTTCTCAGTTTCCTCCCGCTTCTTCCGTTCTTCTCGGCCGTGCGTATCTGCTCCTCCGCGCTTCGTCCCGCGACGATAGCGCCCAACTTAAGGGAGAACGAACGAGCGAACGTCCCACCAAATTAGATCGACTTTTAGAAGCGCGTCCTTACCGAGAGAGGAAACGAGACGTGCAGACGGCGATAACTCTTTCTCTCTATGTCCGACGACGTGAGGTGTTTTTGCAGCGTGTCTGGAAAATTTGTGGGCCGAACAGATTTCGCTGCGGCTGCATACCGTCGACGGTTGCTTCGGAGGAGCGCGAGTTCAATGAGGTCGGCACGCGGAGAGACGCCCTCCCCCTCCCTCCCCCCCGTGTGTAGAACAACACGCGTGTGACATCATATTTAAGAACGAGATGTTGGAAGAACAATTTAGGACACTTTTGTGTCTATTATTTCATTAGGCGTACGAGAATGCCGACGCCGCTCTGTCCGCGTGTTTGCGTCACCGCATACATCGACGAGAGGATACCTGGCGACGACTGAAGTGGGCCTTAAGAAGATCAACGTCGCGCAAGATTATCACGAAATTAGTCACCCGGTTAATCGTTTTCATCGGCCCTCGAGGTTATCGCGTTTATCCCGGCCTATTTTTCCTAACGGTTTAGCACGAGTGCGGGGCATGAATTCGGCGAACTGAGAAAATTATGAAGCGAAAGAGTCGACTATCGTATAAGTGCATCGGATTGTGACAGCGATCGACGCAAGTGACCGAAACTGAAGGAGCGTAGGCTGTGAGCCATTTGTTGCTCACGATCGACGTCTTGAGCCTCGTAATGAGCGACATTCCAGAACGTGAATCGCTCACCGACTTTCGCGGCATTCATCGCGCCCGACCTCGCTGAGGGATTAAATATTAAGTACGTCGAATCTGCATGCGCTCGATGCGCTGTGCGTACGTCTCTGCCAAATTCGCGCGCGTGACGCCCGATAGTGATTAAATCGCAGGCCAGACGTATCTCCAGAAGATCTTGTTATTATTATCGTGCTCACGGGTATCTCTGGACGAAGAAATTAACACGGAGAAAGTGGCAAGGTACGTACATCGTCATTCGTACGATTCAATGCAGCCAAGTTGGATATGAACGTTCGAAAATTAAATGATTTCTCGAGATCTCCAAGAGAGAGAGAGAGAGAGAGAGAGAGAAAGAGCTTTGCGTGATCATAGGGTTTTCGTTTATCTGAAGCAATCAACGAAAAACGCGCCAATTAATGCGTATCTTTACATCATTCTTGCCACGAGCAGTGCAACGAGAGATGCAGTAATTAAAAGGTCCGATAATCGCGATTCCGGCGAACTATGCGTGCTGAAATGCCATTACGAGGACGGTGCACCTTGGCAGCTTGCGGGGCGTCGAGACGCACCACCGCTTTATATATCGCAATGCAGGCCTCGCGACGCGTAGGCGACTCAGACTTCCAGGAATCAACGGTTGAGTCTGAGGAGAACGTAATATAAAACCAGTCGCGATAACCTCCTGTGTACACTCTAAAACACGCCGTGGCGTCGGTGCCTCCTGAGGCATTATTCTTTGACTTCGAGACGACGGGCGAGCCGCGTGTGTTAAGTTGAGAAAACGACATGTCACCGGCGCGTCACAATGCCGTCTCTCCTACCGTCGACTATTCCGCCACGCATACTTGAGGAACGATATCGCAAACGACAACCCGTCCGTCCGGTGCCCGTATTCTGTAACCGTTAACGTTATCGTTGCGCAGCTTCTTTTTTACCGTATGTTATATCTGCGCAACGATAAAATAATTACGACGATACCGTCGTTAAAAGTTACAGAGTAGGCTCACAGGACTCCTCTTCTGTCATTTTTAACGACAGTGTCGTTATCGTTGCATCGTCGTTACGCACGTATAATACGCACGTATGACACGACAGAAAAGCTGCACCACGGCTATCTTAGGCTAGTGACATTGTCGTTAGTTACAAAATAGGTCGACAGACAGCGAACAAGTTCGAAGAAACGAAATTGCTACTACGGATCACGCGCCCGTTGTCGCAATTACATTATCGGCGCGAGCGATCTATGAATTACGTTTGAAATGTTCCGACTGCGGGAACAGGTGTACACGGTGGAGAGAAGTCGACGAAGGAACACTGACAGCGAGCGTTTCGCGGTCGCCCGACAGTACCGCCGAGATGGCCAACTGATAACGAGCCGAGGTCTTATCAGTCGCGCACCGGTGCCGTCGCGAGATCTTGTAATTGGAAACATTATCTGTATACTTTTCTCGCTAATAACTTTCATTACCCTCGAAGATTTATCGCTTCCCTCGAAAGGTCAGTTGTTCACATTTGAATAACAAAAAGGATTTGGACTTTTGTATCGATTAACCATGACTCGCAATGTTCTGCGCGCAAAGTAAAAAAATATGTCGCCGTACCGCAAGTGCGGTAAATGTATATTCCGTGAATTTCTTATCTCGCGTGTGTGTGTGTGTGTTAGCTACACGTGCCGGTGGTGCTACCGGCATCGTTAATTTGTCACTTTATTACAAATGTGATACGGGAAGTCAATATTATCACGTTATAAGGTTGTTCCTTCTTTTTTATTTTATTTCTCGTGAGCGAAATGTTACGAAATATCACTGACTTGCATCTCGGTGAATGTGGTCTCGTTCTTTAGACTTTCGAGTAGACAGACCAGCGTAGCTATAGTGGTCTGGACGGCGAAACCAGACAGAAACTCGTTAGTTTACTCGGGGTATCTTCACCGACACTCATTGACCACTTGCACTGATAACGTAATTGCGATAGTTTAATTCAGAGTAGAACTGCCTCTTGTGTCATTAGAACCTGCCCGGTGTCTTTACACGGAAAATCATAATATATATATCGTGGAATTACTCCTCCCACTTCCCGATAAAAGAGAATATACTACTCATCAGATCAGCGTCTCGAGTTTCGCGTAAGTACGTCCGGAGCAGTTTGAACATGAGATTTTCTTTCAATCGGTTATCAAAGGATCGACGGAACAAAAGAGACAATAAAATCCAAGTCTTTTCAGAGCGACGCGCGCATTACATTCACGAAGTTCCGAGTGAAGATGTTTCGTTTGCTTATTATATTATACATTATATAATGTCCGCTTAACTAGTCTCTCTCTGACGCAAAATGAACGGTAAAATGACATAATTATATCTGTGCCTTCACAAAAACCAAATCTAACATTTTTGCGCTGCTTCCGTCTGGCCAGAAAAAAGTTTTCCGATAGGAGGATCGGTTTCAAACTAATTATATGAATATTTTATCCTCTGTGTCAAGAGGGACGGACCCTCGAAGGTTGCGGCGCCAAAATCAGAATCATCTGGATACGAGAGCTCATAAATCATAGAAAGAAATTCATTCTATATAGTCGGATTTTTTTGAATTGTAAATTAATCGTATGAATACGTTATCCTTTGCGCATCGAGAGAAAAATAAGCCCCTTAAGGCTCGCCGCAAAAAACGAAATCACCCTGATTCGATAGGGTACTCTCTAAAATGTAATCACAATATATTATCACTGAGAAACAGTCAATAATCATTTAGTGATCGTTGTAAGTATATCACTACAAATTAGTGAAATTTCGCTGCAAAAGTTTGTTAATAGCAACTATTGTTTTCATCAGAGAAACTTAATCGCAGAAACAATGGAAAAATGATATTATTTATTACTTCTTTCCTATTATCTTAATTCCACTTTTAAGATATTGTCAATGATTTCATCCGATATATTCTTGATTATGTTTAATTAATTTAATTAAGAATATATATATACATAAAAAATATGACAAACTTATGATTTATGAACATGCACAGTAGATACTGAGACAGCTATCAAAATTACATATATACATATGTAATCTTGACAGCTGTTTAACCATCTATTGCGCATATTCGTGAATCATAGGTTCGTTTCGTCGTATTTTTTGTGTGTTCTGAATCATATAAAACAAAAAATACTATTGCAATCATCCGTGACCGAGTGTACATACATTTCTGCTGCAGAACTGCTCGTAACAGCGATTTGCAGCGAATCCCTCACTAGCTCAAGTCTGAAGTATCAGACAAAAGAGCTGAATGGGTGAGTTTCCGCTAAAAACTAACGAATACTCACCGATTATCGGTAGAATCTTGTTCCACTGATTCAACTTAAGAGACTATGACTTAGACTAACGAAATAAAAGGGAGAAACTGGAGCGTACTCACCTCCGCCTTTCTTGGAGGGACCGATGGCGGTGCGTCTTTGCGCCGCTACGAGGCCGGATAACGCGAGTATCAGCAAAATGATCGAGAAGAGCCTCCTCCACGACTTCGATGATCTGCCCGCGAATCTCGCTACGGAACCCCACCGCACAACGCTCGAAGCACACCTCGCAGAAGATTCGCAGAGTGGAACTCGGTCGCACTTGCTAGTTCTATCGCGCTTTTGATCAGTCGCTTCCGAGTGATTCGTCAACGTGTCGTTTTCGTCGCGTTTTCGCCTCGATCGGCCGACCACGAGGCCGTCCTCTGTCCGTATCACGTCCAACAGATCACGGTCAGTTCGATCACGAAGACGATCGCACATCGACGTCGACGCAGGCGACGCGAGTGCTTCCTCGAACGCGCCACGACTCCATGGACAATGGCAGTGGCAGGTGTTGGAGCGAGCCTCCGAAGAAGAAGGCACAGCACTCGGTTCGTCTTCGTCGAACGTCGCTGTGCCAGCAAGTCTACGCGTGCAGCACGCAGCCGACTTCATCTTGCCCATTCCTCCTGAAGGAGAACGCGGAGTCTCTCTCTGTCTCTCGCTTTCTCTCTCTATCTCTCGGCGAAACGGGACGGCCGTGAGACACGTTGTTCGCACGAATTCAATGCAGGGGTAAAGCGGCGGTGCGTCTCGCTCGCATCTCTTCGCCGTCGACACGGCGACTGGACCTTCACCTCGAGCTTCTCTTTGGTTCCCTATTCGTCTCTCGCGCGTCGCGCGAGTGGAGGGCCCGAGCGTCAATGTGGCGATAGACCCGGCGTCCGCGCGAAGATGTCGCGCATCTCTTCTCGACTCGTTGTCCGAGGCGTGTTTGTCGGCTTCGTTGACCCTCACGCAACCGCGCGCGCGGGTCTACGGGAGACTTTGTGGGCGTGCCGCGCGAGAGGAGATCGCGAGAGAGAGTCACACACGAGGGACAGAGCGCGCGCACGTCCGCTCGCGGGAACACGCGAAGTATCAGCCGACCGTGCTGGAGGATCGGCTCAACCGCCAGGTCACCGCTCTAGACGATCCCATTGAGCGTACGAAACGCGCCGATTCGGCCTGCCTGCCAATTCGAAACTCGCCCCACGACGACCGGGAATCTTGGCAGCGCTCAGTGCGCGTTCCCTGTAACGCCGATGTCGCCTCCTCGCTGAAGCTCAGGCAGCGGTCTGACGTCCTGAAACAAGAAAGAGTACAAGACTGAGAGCGTTTCTTACCCATCCCGAGGGTGCCCCGTCGATATGGTGTGTAACCGTGAAATTAGATTACTCTCCTCGGTAACGATCGCACCAGCCTTGGCCGATCGTCGCTTCAATGATTCACACGTATGTCTGCCAATCGTTGCCGATTTCAGCCGGGAGGAAAAAGCGACCACCTGCAGGCGAGCGAGTAGATTTTCATAGACGACGCGGAATAACGCGCTAGCATTGCTATCGCACGAAAACACGCACGTTAAACCTTGAGAATAGCCACATCGTGGAAATTACGATGGTGCTTTCACAATGGCGACGCTTCCACAGTCATCAATAAGCGTAGCTACGGTAATTTACTATCGCTGTTTACAGTGCATAACGATCACCGGCGCCAAGCGCGTGTCGCGATCATTATGAGGAAAAAAATACTCGCGAAGATAAATTAGCGTGTGTGTGTGTGTGTGTATGTTCATTCAAACGGGGCGCACGCACATGCGAGTGCATGCGATATCAAAAATAACATTTTGTATGTATAATTAGAGCTAATAGCAAGCGCAGTATCGTTGCGACGACGTTGTCAGTCGCAGATAAAGCGGCAAAATAAATGTTGTTGCCATCAATATGCCATTTTGAGGATACTCTCTCGACGTCGTCCTCCGCGTTGCATCGACTTAAATTAAATATTCGTTAATTTATGCGAACGCACGATAACGTTTCCGCACGATATAAAACGTTCCGTTCCGCCATAGGCGATAGGCGTGACCGAATGTTTTTTTAATATCACACGCATGTTGCTATGCATGAAAATACAGAGTAAGGGAATAACTATTGCCGTCTAGTGTGTCTTCGAAATATGAGAGTGGAGAAAAATGTATCCAACAGAAATTGCATTGATACTTCGTGGTCATTTCATCTCGGAAACTTGCCGTAAATGTCAACTTTTCTCACCTTTTCATCCGATCGTTAATAAAATAGTTTTATTCCTCGAAGATAGTAATAGACAGTTATTGCCTCATTTCATATATCACGAGCTACTTCCTGTCTTTATATTTTTGCGACTGGACATTTGGTCTCCGTTTCCGACTGAACGTTTCTCGTCCCCGGAAACTATATTCGAAGCTAGATCACGCGGAAGATCGCCCTTGTTAATTCCTGAATTGCATTGTGCCCCATTTTCCGCATCGAAATTATGGTTACGCCGCAGTTGGTTCGATTGTCGGATGCACCAGCGCGGGGGAAAAATTGCCAATAACGAACATTAATATTTATTCCGCGGTTCTCGCGGGATTTCTAATCTGCTCTGTTTTCCTCGCATATTTCCCTTCCGCCGCTCGGCGAATCGTCCTACTTATCATTTTCAACGAAGAAATTGTGCCCGATAAGATTCGTCCCGCTCGTTCTACGTAACTATCCTTAAGTTCGACGATTATTTACGGGGGTTTACATATTTTACGTGTCAGTTACGAATGACGTCGGAGCATCAAACGCTCTCATTTTTATGTGCATTTTTACGATCCGCGACATACGTTCATGCATTTTTATAACTTTGAACCAGGATATAGCAGGGTTATGACGCGCTTCGTGACAATATCATTGGAAAATGTTTATAGCGTAGTGGTGCGATAATATGCGCGTGTGATTGAAAATTATCGAATATTCCGGAATATTCGGAATCGTCAATATATTCATCAACGTGGCAATGCACGTCAAGCCGCCGTATAAATAAAACCGTATATATAAAACTGTATATAGAATATAAAGCGAGGAGGAGTCTCAGTGTGTGTCCGCTTTGCATCCACGAACGGCGGTTTGGTACGCTCCTCTGTTGCTACGATTCTTCACATAGAAAGGTAAACTGACTAAGAGCCGCACAACCAACTCGGTTGTGTGTCCAGGGGCAATATTCGCATCGTTTGCGATACCAACTTCCGACAGACCAAACGCTGCTTTTCATTATGCGCGAAAAGCAGCTAGGTGCACGCAGCCAGAAGAAGTAGGAATTATGAGATAGGAGAGGGAGAGAGAAAGAGTAGAGACACCTCGTTTGATGCTACACATTCTTTCAAAAAATAACAAACTTATCGTGCTCGACAAAAACAGCCGTTTATGATCGTACCTCTGAATTTTAACCTTATAGGCGATACGTATATAAGGTCATCAGCAGATTAAAAAGTCAACGACGTGCTGTCCGAAGTCAACAAGTTTGTCAGAATCGTCGATAATGCATTGATCGAAGAATGGGAAGTTGGGATGAGCGGCATAATGAGTAAGCTAAAAAGTAATTGAGCAAAAATGAGAAGATTAAATGATTGCAGTAACAACTGTCCGTTATCGTGAAGATAAATCCCTCGTACCGAAATGTCCGTAGCCTTGGAAAAATATTGCGAAATATTTGCAGCTGTAATTGAAATATTTCCGCCGATACACCACAGCCACCGGAAGATTAGCAATGTTCCAAAGCGATATCTCGGCGATAACGAGCCCAAACTTCTTACATTGTATCTCTTATTATCTCCCGTCGTACGTTCTTCGAGTCAAAATAGGCAATTGTATCGCGTACCGTACTGTCTCTAATTCTTTGATCAAATTATCCCAACTTATTTTACATCATCCAGACCTCAACAACTTGCTGCGTTGCTTTGCGATTCGCCGAGGAAGCGGAACGTGAAGAGTGGATACACGAAGGAGAATCGCGACTCGCCGCGTATCGACGACGTCGGACGAAACGTCTGACGTGCGATCCCACGTGCTGTTAAGTGGCCGCGGAGTAAAAAAACAAAAAATTTGGAGCGTCGCGTCTGGTCTCGCGCAGTACCGTCTTGTTGCGTCGTGACACCCGGGGTTAAGTAACGTAATTCGATTAAGCGTAAATTTCTCTTAATAATAAACATCAATTGCTTTATTGCGTGTAAAAGGGGTCATGCTGTCGCTGCTAACGAGACGTGTACGCAATGGCATGCGGTGTGTGTCGATGGATTCGATAAAGCGGAGCCGATCACACACACACACACACGTACCTCTGACGAGTTCTCCAAACGGCGCCGCGACAATAAGCCGTAAATATCTCCGAATAATTCGTTAAATTCGCCTAGAGTAGAATTAGCATCTCTAGATCGTGAAAAAAGAACACACGGTTTCAGACACTGGATCTAGAAAATTTTCACTGGGAATTTCCAATCACAAGTATTATAGTCCGAGTTCCAAGCGCAAATATCTACACACGACTCCAATAAGGCCTTCACTTCCAATTAAAATATTTCGGCTTGGGCGCATCATACTTACATATCGTAGTACATGTTGTAGTATGATTGTTGATTTTTAGAAGAATCGGCAATTCGGTCACATTAAATGCGACAGTAATATTTACGGTGAATAGCACATATATACTATTACTTTTGCGATTTACAATGAAAGTTCTCGATTCTTCTCAAAACCAACAATCATAATAAAAAAAAAAAAAATACGTAAATTCGTCCGAGCCGAAATACTCTAACCGGAAGTGAAAAGCATTGTTGGAGTTCTCTGTAGATGTCTGTGGTTTGGACACTTTTTCTCGATGCGCGTTGGAACGCGGTCAATACCGCTACTCCGATGAGATTATAAATGAAAGCCCGATGAAAGAACTTATTTCCCGAAAATGAGTTTTATCACCGGGTTATCGTCCGCGTACAAAACTGACGACGAAAAAGAATACACTTGGCTTCGATACGTAAGAGTACGCTGTCTCAACACCTCAGAAAAAGTGCATGTACTTTTAAAAGACGGTTACGGTTGGTAAACCCTAGCCCAGGGTCGAACTTTTGCAAGGAGCGAGCGCGTATTTCTCGCCTCGGCGAGAAAGGAAATCGGCATTCGCGGAACGAGGAACTCCACGGTCACGCGGTCCGCCACCCACGTCCAGTCATATTCATAGTTTCACCCGCGAGCGGAGGCGAACGCACAGCACGAGAATACGTTACAGCACATACACACACGGCACATATCCGTCATCGCGCCGCCGATAATTTTGGGGCCCGAGCGAAATGTCAAGTTACGGCTCGAATACCGTCGGAACTTTCAACATTCGATAAACTTAGCGGTATGCAGGCGAGCGACTGCGCGCACGTGCAGCATACTGCAACGGAACTGTTATAGTCTCTCTAAACGTTTCCCCCTGGACTCCATAACTTTTGCTTCGGAACACTCGTTTCTGAAACGACTATTTTCGCGGGCACCGATTCGCCGCACTCCATACGCATCCCGCCCTTCGCGTATTTCGAGAGAAAGGCGACGGAGAGAAACACGTTCGGGAGAAGAAGCTCATTTATAAAAGACTCTGGGATTAATCTTTTTTTCATCGCGCGTGTGTCTCTATGTATCTTCGTATCGAATCAAATCGCGCACAAGCGTCGAGAGACAGATCGCGCTGACGATAAGCGGGATAATCCGGTCTGATCGCGCGCGCGCGCGCGCGCACATACGCACACACGTACAAGGGCGGGCGCAAGTGAGCTCCCGCCATACAAAATCGTTTTTTCTTTCTTTTCTTTTTTTTTATACACTGCGATCGGCGTTAAAGCGCATCGAAACACCCGGCACGAACGGTCGTGCGTTGCGGTGCGTATATGCGTGCGTGTATGTGTGTACGTGCAACCGGCGTTTATACGCGCGCCCGACGTCGACGTACCGGTGCCGGTGCGCAAGTCATGTGCGTAATGCGTGCGAATGCAACGAACCGGCTCGAGCGTGGAACGAGGAAGATGGATGCATCGGGGG